TGGAGAGAGAGAGGCAAAGGCTGGGTCACCCATGTCTTTGTATCCCTTGTGAAAAGCAAAGAAAGTCTTTCTAGAATTGCACTTGCTCTGAAAAATATTTATAATTTGCAATTTACAACACTCCCAATTTGTAAAACCTAAACAATCTTAAAACCTAGCAACCCTGCTTCACAAGGGGGAAAGCAGCCCTGAGTGCTGAGCTGGTTTCTAGGATGGGTATCTATTTACAATGTAAATGTGATGCTAGGAACAGTTGGCAACAAGCACTTGGAGCAACTGAGTTAAAACCAGACCTTCCCTATTTCATCCTCTAGTTGTGTTTATACTGGAGTGATGTACAGCAAGATGAAGGAGAAAGAATGGCTTTTTTCCTAATAAAAACCTTGCATCACTTTGAGCAAACATTTATTCTTCTTACAAAGTAGCCAGGCTGCCACTGGTCAAGGCCACCTTCTATGGTTTCCGGCTGGACTCACCCACCTGGCCTCCCTCTCAGCTGGCGGGCTGGTGGCCGCAGCTGCTATCTGCTCACCGTTTTGGGGGTGGCTGATGTTAGATCTCGCCCCATTCCATTTTTTACTTTCCCAGACAAGGCTTGATGCTTGGCAGGGTCCTGGCCATTGATTCTGACAAGTCAAATGTCCATTCCAACAGAAGAGTGCCAGAAAGGGACCAGTTGTTAAATAGCTGTGCAAGCCGGAGCCTGAATGCCCAACTGCACGGTGTTCAGAAGAAGGAAGGTCCAGCAGCTGACCTGAGAACCAGGCTTGTCATTGGATGGGTACTTCCCCTCCTCAAGAAGTGAAGCCAAAGCTCTGCTTGTGCGCCTGGGGTGCTCTGGCCCATGGCAGGTGAGGGTTAGCACAGCACTGAACTTGGCTGGACCAGAGGGACACCTGGGGGATGAGTCCCCAGCCCCTCTTCAGCCCGCTCTATTCACCTTTTCTCTTGCTAATTAGCTGGGAGATAGAAGCTCTTGACACCCTGCTAGCCTGCCAGGTCCTCTGGATCATGGCCTTCCTGGGCTGCTTAACTCCCTTCTCACTGTCAAGAGACCGTGTTTTGGCCCCTGTAGCACTGGGGTCAGGCACTTGCAAGTTACACCAGCTCTTTGAGTCTCAGTTTCCTTATGGATAAACTGGTGGAAGCAACAGTACCCAGCTTAGAGGGCTGAGGTGCGGATTCAGTGAAGGGGTGCTCCTAATTAGCACAGTGCCGGGCGTGCAGGGCTCCACACATAATAGTTCCTGCTGGGCCTGGAACACGGCCACAAGCAGGAACAGGTTCACATCTCTGAGGAACCTGAGGTAGCCCTTGGCTCCTGCCAGCAGACACTCAGTCCATGATAACCATCACTGTCATCTTTGCCATTGTCCTGAGTGCCATTATTATCACTGGCTGTTTATTTTTTCTTGAACCAGAGCTCTTAGGTCTTTTATGATGACAATAGTTCATTTGGGCATGAGGACACTGGGTTGTAAAAGAAAAGACCTGTACAACTCGCCCCACTTGTAGACGGCCAGGGCATGCTCTTGAATAAGTGATGTTAGTCTCAGAGTAAATTAACCCCAATTGAAAACAGGAGGGTGGACTCCCACAGCCGGAAGCTTCCTGTCCTAAGAGTTTATGAGTCTCAGCCTCGCCTGAAGATGAAATGTATGACCAGTGCCAGACTGAGACGGATATTCATCTAACATGCTTAAATATTTTTTTTTTTTTGCAGTACTGGAAATTGAATCCAGAAAGCCCTGAGCTGTATCCTCAGCCTTTTAAAAATTTTCTTTGAGACAGGTCTCTCACTAAGTTGTTCAAGAAGGCCTTGAACTTGTAGTCTTGCTCCCTCGGCCTTTTGTGGAGCTGGGATTCCAGGCATGCAGCATTGTGGCCAGTCTAAACCAGAAGATTTCACTTTACGACTGGGACCAACTGGTTTTAAAACTTGGGAGGCCTCATGAGTTGAGCATTGGGTTCAAACACAACTCCTTCCAATTTCTGACTTAGATTTCAGTGTGCTCCTTGGCTGCCAGGCCGAACTCTCCAGGTGTCCCACAGAGAATCTATCTATCTGTATTTCCTTTCCTTATTCAGCCTGAGCTGCATCGGAACAAGAGAGTCAGAAATGGAACTTTGAAAATAATTGCTTAGGAAGAGATGGGTCTCAAGCAAACCTGAAAGAAGCTCTGGCCCTAACCACATGATGTATAATTCCTTGGGCAGGACAGGACCTTGAAGCCCACCACATCAAAAGCCTCATTTTCTAAAAAAGGGAATCAAGAGCTTCAGAAAAGTGAACCTTGGTTTTATTCCTGAAGACAATACATGTGTGATTTGCTTTCTTCTTTTGCTTCACATTCCTTAGCCCTTCCAACAGGGAGCTCCAAAGTGGTCCCTCCACCTTTCCTTCCTGCCCAACAGGTCACAGGGCCCCTCTGTCCCTTGTTTTCTGGAAACAGTCATCTTTTTACAGAAGCATTGTTCTCCCACAGGCTGACTCTGGCAGGGAATTTGGGAGCAGCATGGAGAAGGGTGGGTAGGCAGATGTGAGGGCACTGGGATTCAGGGTTCCCCAGGAAGACAGGCAGGGAGGAAGACAGAGCTGTCTGACATCTCTTGCTGGTCTCTGCCAGGGAACTTAGCAGCGCCAGGCCCGGCTACTCAACGTTGGGGTGGCTTCAGGGATTAAGTAAGTGAGTATGTTGAAACCTTACTTGTAAAGTAGCCAGGAGGTGCCTGTGGGGTTCTCAGTCTCTGCCCCACATCCTTCCTCCCCCAGCCACAGTGAATCCCAGGTAAACTTCCCTTTCTCCGGGTGGACAAGAACTGAGGCTCACTTGGGGACAGACTGGAGCGTTGGTCCTGATCTATGCCACGACATTTAGGGTACTGGTCTAAGACTACCACATCAGCCTGAAAAGAAGGTGTTGTGTCAGGCCTGGGTAGCAACAGGGCAAGCACAGGGTCATCCTAAAGACCAGAAAGAAGAGGAACGGAAGATGCCGATCTCACCTGCTTGGCCTAGGATCAGCCCTGGCAGGGGCGGTGTAAAAAGAAGCAGGGCCCCCTCCCCTTCCTCTGGAGCCCAAGTGGAACAGTACTCAGGAGAGACCCTCATACAGCAGGTCCTGGGCGGCCCGTAGGTCCTCTGCCTGCCAATGCCCTTCTGAGCTCAGGCCTTGGAGCTGTGTCTTCTGTACCCTTGTGGAACAGCTTACTGTGGGGAGTGGAGGTTTCAAAAGCGTGTAGTGGGAAAATGCAGGACATGCCAAGTGATCTCCTGATTGCACTTCAATAATTCAAAGTTCCGGGCATTCAGGAAAAGTTCAGGGTGTGGATGAGCTGAGGTTACCTGTATGAAGTAGTGCTTACGCTTTTTATAGCAGAACAATAGGCAGCTGTTGCCCCTCCCCCCAGCACCCTCAAAGGTCAGCAAGGGATGTGGATCTGTGCCGCTCACGTCTGGAGAACCTCGGCACAGTGTCTTCCCCCACCGTCACCCCGGGCTTGCCTTCCCCTCTCCTCTCTGACCCCGGAGTTCCAGGTGAGGAGCACGGAAAAGTAGCTCTGCGTGGGAACCGGTGGCACTCTGCATATTAAGTCTACCCCGTTTCTGAAAGTTTCCCGAGCTTTTGGGGAAATCGAGGACACGGAGGCGGAAGCGCTGAGAGAGGGATTCTTGAGGCACAATGGAGCCCCCAGAAGGAATCCTGGGGTTGCGGAGATGGGCAGAGGCGGGAGAAAAGGAGAGGGCAGGCAGTGGCACCTGCCCCCAGGTCAAGGTCCTTCGGTCCTTGGCATCTTTTCTTCAGGACCGCATCTCCTTCTCCAAGGGCTTCCTGGAGTGGCGGCCCTCAGAACGCGCTGGCAACAAATGAAACCGCGCGGGGACAAAGGAGGGGCGCGAGGCGCGGGACGCGCGGGAGATGTTCTGCTCCGCACTGATCCCGCAGGGGAGAGGACCTCTGGGCGGCTTCTGAGAAGCCACCTTGGGCTTGTCAGGCTGCCCCAGAACCCTCCGGGTCTCCCCACACGTATCTGCCGCCCTCCGGAGGTGCCGAAAGGGGCTGGGCTCGGCGTTTGAGACCGCGGGGTGGGGCACGACATCAGCCTCCGGGACTCGGGGCGTAACGGTGCGTCCCGCGCCGCAAGTGCGCGCCTGGGGAAGCCCCGAGCTGCAGAAACTGCAGGTCACGGTCCCGCCCCGCCCCTGGAGAGATCAGGAGAACCTGGCGCGGCTGTCGCGCACCTGAGTGCCCCGAGCCCACAGGGCGAGGGCACAGACTTTCCCGAAACGACTCGGTTTCTGCGCAACAAGCGCGGCAACCCCGGGGTTGCCCGGGACGTCGCGGGGTTGGCAGATCATCCGGCCCCGGGGAAGGGCTGGGGGCTCCCTCCAGCTCGGCGCGCCCCGTCTCCCGCGGAGCTGGTCCCCACACCCGATCGCGGGCAGGCGGGAGGCGTGCGTGTCGTGTGCCCGTGTGCAGGGAACAGTCCCCTTCCTGGGAGCTCAGGCACAGACCCAGTCCTCTGCTCCAGCTGAGGGATCCCCTCCCCCCGCTCCGAGATCCCCGCGCGCCCCCTGCCCACTTTGCCAAGGCGAGAAAACGGCCGAGCCGGAGACAAAGAAACTCCTGCTTCCCTCCACGCTCGGCCCCTCCGCCTGCCCGAGACACTCCCCGGCGCCCTCCCTCGACCCGGCGACACTGTACTCGGACTCGGGAGAAGGGGACCTGTGGGCAAGTCCGCTTCCCGGCGTGGGGCGGCTTGGGGGCGGCCGAGCACCCCGCCCCGGAACACCCACGGCAGCCGCGCCCCCACCATCCTCCCCAGACCGTCCTGGGTCCCTGGCACTGTTGCCCCCATCCCAAACCATCCCCCGCCTCTGCACCAAGGGACAAGGGGGCGCAACGCACACAAAGCGAGTGGGGGTGGGTGGGCAGAGCGCGGGTGCAAAGGGGAATCCCGGCGGGGCTCGTGGCCGAAGCGCGGGCGCAGCTATTTACCCGATTTCTTCTTCGATCTCGGAGATGTCCGCGAAGATGAGGAAGACCACCAGCAGCGTGAGCGCGGCCAGCATCCAGCTCCGGAACTGCAGCTGCATGGTGGGCTGGAGCCGCCGGGACCCGCGCGGGCCGGCGGAGGAGCGGGCTGGAGGGCGCGGCGGCGGGCGCGGAGCCTCGCGCGCCACGCGGAGCCGGGCGGACCCTGCGCTCCGGGCGAGTCCCGGCCGGCGGTGGCGGCGGCTGCGGTGGCGACAGACAGGGGTTGCTCCGGTGCTGCGAGCCCTCTGGCTCCCTCCGGGCTCTCGCCTGCCCCGCCCCTCCCGTCCTCTCCCCTCCCCCGCCCCGCGCCCGGCTCCGCGCGCAGTTTGACAGCTTTGCTCCGCGCCTCTCCGCCTCCTCCCACCAACTCTAGCGTCCAGCCGCTTGCCTAGGCTTCGCCCGCCTGGCTTTTTAAGCTTCCAAGGGCTTGTGGAGGCTACCACTCCCGGCCTGGGAAGGAAGGCTGGGCTCAGGGCACAGAGCGAGACCGGGAAGCGTGTGAGCCGAGCCCAGGGAAGCGCGCGCAGTGCCCGGCGCACCCTGCCGGTTGACAAACGCCCTCCCCTCTCCCCTTTGTCCAGCGTCCTCGCTTCCTCTCAAAGTTTTCCCTACACAAAGACCAACACCCCTCAAACAGCCTCCAGCGCGTGGCAAGGAGGCGCTTTCCGCTGCTGGCGAATTAGGAGAGGAGCGAGAAGCCAAAGGAAAAGAAATGCCTGAGGCAGGCCAACTTTGGTGGACATGCTGGTTGCAGTTCGTGAGGCAGGTGCTGAGCCCGGGAAAAACCGCCTCCTCCAGGAAGTCGCGTGAGCCCATTAGAGCCCGAGACTGAGACTTAAGCTCGGAGTTAGCAAACGGCTCGAAATCCTGGTTTGGAACTTGGGGTCCCGCTGAAGTGGCCGTGCTCTCTACAATGGCAGACTCAGTGCCCACCCTGCCTCTGTCCTGGTGCTGCTGACTGGGGTGAGGCGGGGAGCTTTATTCTCCCTCAACTCTTGCCCTCCTTAAGCAAAATCAAAACCTGCCTCCTATCCTGATCAAAAGCCTTCTAGAAAAATATGGCTCCCTCAAGGGACAATGTCCTAACGTGGAACATTTTTATTCTTCTCCAGCCTAGGACAGTCCAGCTCCAGTTACATTTTGCACCAACCTAGCCTGGGGTGGAAAAGGACCAGTAAAGTGTTATTGGAACTGGATAATTACCTTTAAAAATATTTTTTTCCTGGCTCTAATTATAACAATTCCTGAAATCAGGAAATGTAACTTTCCAGAAATGACCATCTGGTTTGTGAAAGGGTCCCAGAGGTTTGGGGTGGGGGGGAGAGGCTTACTGGAGAAGCCTGATGACTGTCCTAACTGCCTGGCCAGCACCTGCAAATGAGGGGGAGTAACAGGTTGGCAGTGTCCCCAAGACAACACTGAGGGATCTGGGGAGGGGTGTTTGGTAGCAGCTAAGTCTTTCCAGGGCCACACAGAGACAGAAGAGGGCTTTTCCCATTTTCCACCAAAGGGCTGCCCATGCTCAGAGTGCTTCTGTCTCTTTTTGCATAAAAATGGGGAGTAGGAGAGAGGCTTTCATGCTGGGGGTCTTCTGGGCTTCACAGGGCACAGGGCTGGGAAGCAGGAGGAGTTCTTATCACCCTGGCTGGAGAGCAGGACAGGAGCACAGAGGGGTGGAGACATTTCTGCCTCAGCCTCCTAGTAGATGTCTTCTCCCCTTTGCAAAGCCCAGGCATCTTCGCCTGTTTTCACATTTGGGACAGAGTGGGTGTGTGAGACTCTGAGGTTGAGCACCATGCCGGGCATCACTCTCCCTATCAGCTAGAGGCAGGGACAGAACATCAAACAGGGTTTCACATCAGTTTGGTTGCCCGTGAGTCTGGCCGGACTGATTCTAAGTTTTCAGAAAGCCTAGTTCTTTCCCACTGTCTTACTTGACAGGTGACTGGGGAGGTGTGAGCTGTTATCATTTTTGCGTTACTTTTTTGAGATGAGTGACCGGACAGCTGAAAAACGAAGGGTAAGAGCAGGAATACCTGGTTCCTGCAGTCACACCTCTGGCCACTCCGTTATTCCATCATGTTTATCGCACATCTTGTTGTGCCAGGTTCTGAGTTAGGGGCTAGAGGTACCAAGAGAGACCTCATTTCCTGCCCTCTAGTGGCTCACAGTTCAGAAGGAGCATACTCAAGTAACTAATTATAAAATGGATGTGGGCTACAGCAGAGCCAGGGTTTCCTGACCAACTTGTAATTGACTAGGAAGATCATCCCTAAAAGCAAGAAGAAACCCTCTCGCATCTTTCTTCCATGTTTCTGTCTTTCAATCAGCTTGGTATGCAGGATGTCATCAAGGTACTGCTACATGCATCAGGTCAGGCAAACTTCATTGCTACAAGCACAGGCACAAAAGAAACTATTTCAGTTTCCTATTAGGTGGCTTGTGTTTTCATCTCTGACACCCGCCAGGGGAGAGTCATTACGATTGGCTGGGAAATGGTGAGACTTGTGTTTGCTTTATAGGGAAAGCCTTGTACCCAGGCCCTCAGAGCACTGTTGTCTAGCTAGCAAAGTAACATAGAGGCTCTTCTTGCAGTGGGAGTCATTGAGAGGATGGTAGGGATCTTGTGTTTAACACAGATCCTGTCTCTAAGCCCTTATGCTGGAATCCTCTTGGGCCAGCCACTTTGATGGTGATCTTTGCTATCTCTGAAAAATGCATTTGTTCCTGGAATACGGAAAAAGGAAGAATGATGGGATTGGCAGAAAATGTTAGGCTGGTGATGCAAACTGCCACACAGGCCCTCCCAGATCGCCCTGCTCCTTCTGAGCCCTCTGTTTCTGCAAGCCCGTTTTCTGCCTTAGATTCCCCAGAAATGGGGAGTTCCACCATAACCATTTCTTTAGATAGAGTCATTAAATGATTGGGTTAAAATGCAGGAGTTCATATGGGAGTGGCAACAAATTAAAAGTAATTACTATCCATTAACATTTTAACTGGAATTAATAGAGTGTATTAGCTATTCAGGCAACTAATAAAGGACTTGGGAAGTTGTATTAACAAGGAATAGAGTTGCAGGGGGTTCTGCAGAAGCCCAAAGGGGTCCAATGGGGTCAAATAGAGCTGCAGGATGGCTCTCCTGTGTCTCTGCCTCTGGTTTGTCCTATCATCTGCCAGCTTCAGGAGTAGGGTCCCAACCCAGCCTGAGTTCATGAGAGGCCCACACTTGCATATTTAACTAAACTCCTCCAAACCCACTCTAGCCATGCAGAATTTTCAGCTGAACCTTCTTGGGAGCAGTAAGATCTAGATTGATAATAACCTGTTTTGAGTTAATGACTGGGGAGAAAAAGCAAGTCCAGTGTGTAGGGAGAGCTGGCATTTGTGAACATGCACAATTGCAGAAGGCACCGTCTGGGGCTATTTCTATTATTTAGTCCTCATGGTGATTCTTTCATAGATTCCATCATCATTTTGCATTTGAGCTAACTGAGGCTCATAGGGGCTAAATTGCCCAAGGTGGCTCAGGTGGCAGAGAGGGAATTTCAATTCACGTGGCTCTCCTTGGCCTCAGCAACTTCTGGGATCCTAAGATTGCCAAGATTCCCTCCAGCAAGCCGGGAAATTCAAAACAGATTTGCAAAGAGGCACCTCCTTTGATTCTTACTATATCCCCTTAGTTCTGGTGTGTCAGGATTAGGGAACAAATCTATCTTTCTTTGTTGCATACCCTTCATCATTTGTGATATCACAATCATAAATCTCTATTCTCATCTTTCAACATGAAAAAGGCTAGTCCTTTCAATCAATGTAATCTTTTAAAAAAACCTCAACAGTAAATAATTATTCAAAATTCTTCCCAAACACAAACATCTCCTTGTTCAGACTATGAAAAAGAAAAAGTACCATCTTTTTGTAGTTAATGCTCTTTGAGAGAGTTCAATGCAAAGAGATGATAGTTTTGCTTTTTCACGGTCTCTGAAGATGTTTGTGCGTTTGGGAAGTACAGGATGTGAGGATCATGGAAAAGGGTAAATCAAGGTGGGATGGATTAAAAAGCTACTGCATTTCTGCACCTTCAGCAACTCGGAGAACCCCTTTTTCTTTTTGATTATACATTAAATTCAAGCCTTCTCACGGATGCAACATTTTCCCCCTTCCAAATCAGAAAGAGAGTGGTAACAATATGGGAAAGTAAAGGGGCACATTTGCATTCCATTTGTTAACTTTCGTAAATAGCAAAATTGTAGTTTAGCCAAAGAAAGAAAATATACTCAGGCGGTAGCTGTAAATGTTTCTGGAATTATCAGCAAGAGATATTGGGAGGGATGTGGGAGCGAGCTCCACAGAGAGTTGGAGGTGACAGAGAGGAGAGCAGTGGCTCTGCTTTTTGGCTGGGATTTTGACAGTCTCATCAGTTGGGATGAAAGGTAGTTTGGAAGCAAACTACAAAGTCAGGTAACAGATAGTAGAGAAGGATGATTGTCATTTGGAGCTCTGAACCAGACTTCTTAGCTTGCCTACTTTATCCAGTCCACCATGATGCCCTCTGTATGTGACATCTGAGGAAGTTGGCTGATTCTACCCATCCTTGGCTCTCAGTCTTTACTAACTCTCAGCCCTGGTTCAGATGATGGACTCCAGTGTTCCCAGAATTGGTGGACATCATGTTTTTCCTGCTTCCTCATTCCCCTGACCAGTACCACTTTGTCTTGTCTTTTGTGATGAAGTCTGTGTGGCTGTACATCATGACTTCCCAGATCCCTGTTGTATATCTGGGCCTAAGGTAGAGGGTTGGGATGTAGCAGAGAATGAAGCAGGCAGAGTCCTCTCCTGGAGGGGTTTGGAGCCCAGTGGGATTTTCTAGATGAAGGCCCTGTGTCCAAGAATTTCAGAGATTTACCCACCGTGCTGCCACTAATTTTAAAGCCAAGAACTAGATGTTCTAGATGTCCTGCCTTTGAACTGAGCTCAGTGTTAGCTCTTTCACAGATACACATTTTAATTTCACTTCTCATGACATTTCAATGAAAATGGAAACTCCAAAGGGATGGAGACCTTTATTCCTTTTCTGGCCCACAATGGTAAAACCCAATCAATCCCTGCTCCTACTGTGGCCACGTTCAAGACATCACCATCATGTTGCTGAAAGCAGAGTCAGGGAGGGATGTGGATGACATGCTGTAATGGAGCATTTCTGCCATATGGCACAAGAAATGAAAAAAATCTTGAGCATAATGACCCTTGAGGATGA